AAACGACGAAAACAAACGGGAGAAAGAAAGCAAAAAAAAAACAAAAAAAACACACATAGGCGCACGTAAAAACAAACAATAAAATTATTTAATTTTTTTTTTTTAAGGGGGGGGGAGGGGTGGAGATAAAAATTAAAAAATAATATACTAAAAGGCACAGTGTTATTACTGTCTTTAAATAATAAAGATCAACAGGAAGAGCTATAAGATTGTAAGTAACGAAGCACAAGGGGAACACTGAAAGGAAAATTGGGAGATCGTGGGGGGTGGGGGGGAGGGAGGGGAAAGACTCTAACGAAAATACAACAAACTGTCCCACGGGTGAAAATGGTGGGCTTAGTTTTAAAAAGTGTAGATGCTAAAGGACCGCAACATGGATGAGGTATTGATGCCATAACTTACTGTTGGAACCAACCATGGTCACCACGATAGATGTTGACGTGGACGAGCTCTGCACCAGGACCGTGGCAAGCACCCCAATCATCAAGCCAGCCAGAGGATTGGACAGGACCCCACTGTTGAATGCCTGACCTGCAGCCTTGCCTGGAGATATATAAATATATATATATATATATATATACATATAATATGTAAAATCAACACCATTATTTATAAATATGAGATGCCATACAATTTCTAAAGTATAAACAATGGACGGTAGACTCGGTTACTATGAAAGTAATCATGCCAGTTACGAATGTAGTAAAAAGACAAATTTACTAATTCCCCCCTCCATCCCCACCCNCTCAAATTCCTAGGTTTCCGACTCCACTAACTGAAACAAACGATCACATATTTTTTTTCCGCAATAAATATTTTGGAGCTAAACGATGACGTTCGACTGCACTTCAAATCTTTGAATACTGCGCTACACTTACCGCCCAAGAGCTGGAAGGCAGACTCCAGTAATCCCAGGGAGACAATGAAGATATAGAGCAGTCCAAGGAAAGACAGCAGCTTAACGATGACGATCACAACGCTACGGATCTTCTGATTTCTCGTCATGTCTGCAGAACACACACATTAAAAAATGTTCATGCGACTTTTGCTATTCATTAACGACATGAGTTTATTGGATGGTATGTCCATTTATCCATGCATGGATTGAAAGTGATGTTAAAAATGATCTACTGTTGGATGTCAGGTGAGTGCATAGATTTCTCTGTTTATGAAACCTTATGTTGTTTTTCTAGTTTTATTATTTTCAAGTATGTCAATATCACCGTTATGTGAAATGAATTTTTAATTGAAATGAGTGTTGTCGGTGAATGGTTTTCATACCTTTAAATAGCAGCTCATCTGGTGGAATAGAGTCCTCTGACTCCGAGTCACTAATCTCTGGGTCATGATTAGGATGACCCTTCAAGGAACCTGTCACTTTCATCGTGATGCGATTTTATTTTATTTTGTCTGTTGAGTGTAAAAAAAACAACATATTCTTTTTAACATAACAAGTTCAATCGTTAAAATGGGAATTTCTGTACTGTATGCATAGGTTCATAGTTGATATACGATGAGTGGGGTGGGAATTTCTGTACTGTGTGCATAGGTTCATAGTTGATATACGATGAGTGGGGTGGGAATTTCTGTACTGTCTGCATAGGTTCATCGTTGATATACGATTATTTTGGTGGGAATTAGTGTACTGTGTGAATAGCTTCATCTTTGATATACGATTAGGGGGGTGGGAATTTATGTACTGTGTGAATAGCTTCATCTTTGATATACGATTGGTGGGGTGGGAATTTCTGTACTGTGTGCATAGTTTCATAGTTGATATACGATTCGTGGCACCCGGCCACTACGCTTTAGCAAATTACCGTCAAGATGACGTAAGATTGTTTCAGACGGCAACTTTAACATGGAAATTACTATTTTATTTGAATTTTTGTAACGTTGCTTTAACAACAACAAAAAATTATGACCTTGCGTTTTATTTGAACGATAATGTGATTGTATGGAAACAAAAGCAAGCGGAATCATTTTTTTGGTCGAATCTTATTATTACTATTTTTTTACCATAGTAGCATCGAAGAAACGGTTGCCTGAAACTAAAATCTACAAACCAGGTGGTCACTGAAGCTATAGCATATAACGCACACCGCAAACCCACTTCATGATTTCAACAACACTGACCTAGAAGGCCAAACACATCCAGTTAGATTAATAGAGTCTGATTTCTTTGCGTTTCCCCTTTCAAGGAGGCATACGATAAAATGAAAGGGACAGCTTCACAGCGTATTTAATGAAATCTGAACCAATGGCCATTACAGTGAACATAGCGGTGTCTAAATTGTCTAGTGTGTTTCACTGACCTTTAGAGAATCGCACAAAATAGCCCTCACACTACATAACCACACAACAAAAATTCACTAATGAATGTTATATATATATATATATATATATATATATATATATATATATATATTAATAAATTTACCCACACCGTACAAAAAGTATCTAATTTTTTTAAAGAAATTGTTTTTAAATTCACATCTTACCTTGATTTCAAGGAATTGTCCAAATGGTTTGCTCTGCTGCGCTAGGATGTGGCGATTTGGTGACGGGTCTCTTGGAGACAATCGGTCCGCTTGAATGAAGTTGAACGCGGTCTCGTCTTCCAATGTGCGGAGGGTCAGGCAGGAGACTCTTTGACCGACGACGAGAGGACTCCTCTGAACTCATCTCCGGCACGATCGCCGAATTTATAATGTGTAACGCCTTCATATCAGTGGACGGAAGCTCAAGGCCACTGCACCCAAATGAAATGGTGATACTATCAGGGTTTGATTAAGTGCCTCAAAAATGTTAGTGCGTGCGTGTGTGTGTGTTTATGTGTGCCTTAGTACTGTGAGGTCCACATATTTAAAGAAAAAAAAAAAAATTTTTTTTTTCTTTTTTGGAAAAAAATGAAACATTTGGCAATTTTAAAGATAAGCTTTCCCGCCATAGAATAACGTGGATCACTCGTGGGTAGATCTATTAGTTCGGACTTTGATTGGTTGCTCGAAAACAATGGGTCCACTTGGAAGAATTTTTTTTTTTAAATCTGTACATTTGAGCTGGTCAAAACCCTATTTTAAGCTCTAAAGTGCATTAGTGACTGTCCAAAAAAGCATACTAAAGTTATATATAGATAGATAGAGATATGAAATAGACACAGTCCAACGGCTTTCAACATTTTGGTACTATTTCAAAGTAACGCGTCTCCGTATTAGTATGATCAAAAATTTTTTTATCTATTATCAGGAGCATGGGGAGCGACAAGGGGGGTGTAGTGGTCGACCAAGGGGCGGCACTTTTTTTCCATATCTATTGATGGGTCACGTTTTCGGCCAACTGCAAAGTATTGTCGTGCTTGATATAAAGCTTTAAAATAATTACCAAAAGGGAGATGTCATAAAGAAATTTTACATAATAATATTTTTAAAAAACTAGTCATAGGCGTGGCCAATGATTTACACCCTCCACCCCACACAAAAAATACATTTTAAAGAAAAATGGGGGGGGGGGGTGTGATTATTATTATTATTAATTTATATTACTTTAATTTTTTTTAGCTTGACAACCCCTCTCGATTTAAAAAAAAACAACTAAATATTTCATAACCACTAAAAAAAGAAATACTGCTAAAAA